AATAAATATTTAATAATAAGTTTATTTGTTGATAATAATTATATTAATTCTAAATATTTAAACCTATTCAAAAAATAAAGAATATAAAAAGAAAAAAAAAACTCCAAAACTTATATAAAATCATTTCAAGAAAGCCAAAGTCTAAGTTACTAAAAAAAATAGAAAAAATAATTAATTTCATTTCTAAAAAGAAAAATTAAAACTTTAATATTTATCTAAGATTATTTTTAAGGAATCTAAGCTAAACCTATTTTTAAAAATAAAAGAAAAAACAGTCAATATCATTTCTGAAAAGGTTTAAAGTCATTTAAGCTAAATATCTTAAAACTCAAATTTTTTAAAAATAGTTTAGAGAGACATTTTTAAAAAGAACATTAAATCATTCTTTTCTTTTCTTTTTTAGAAATAGTTGATTTTAGATAAGCATTGATAAAATTATATATTTTTTTTTAAGTTTGTTCTTTTTAGGACTAGTATTAACTAATTTTTTTTTAGAATTGAGTTTAACTTGGTAAATTTAAGTTAAAATGTCAGTGTAATTTATTTTTTTTAAGAATATCAGTAACACTTTGATATCCTATCTAACAGTTATATTTCGCAAGAATTACATGTTAATATTTAGCAATGATAACAGGACTCTCTTTTCTAATTAGCGCAGTAACAACCTATGATCACGCTATATGAATTCATTTGGAAGTATATTTAAATACCAGAGACTACATCATCAATAATATCTTAGCAAGATTGTATATATAGCTCTCTCATCAAATTCTTTGTGTATTATTTATCATCTAGCATCTTTATCATCAACTAGAGAAGTAATCTGTGAATAATAATTTGTGTAAATAATGCAAATATTTGAATAAGATAAATATCTGGATCACTTTTTAGTTTATGGATTTGTAATATTTATTTGTGAATTATCTGCCAATATTCATGGATATTTCATAAATTAATAACTAATCTGTTAATTAATCTGCAGATATCTGTTATATTTTATTTTTCGTAATTAATTTTGTAAATATAATTTTTTATCTTTAAGATTTAAATATTGTAAAATATAAATATTAAATAAAATTAGTTGTTTTACATTATTCCAAAATAAGTAATTTAACAATAAATAATTAACAATACAAAATATCTTGAATCTTAATTCAATAGTAAGGATAAAAGGTCTATTTAATATGAAAAAGTATTATAAAGATTAGGAAAAACAATAAAATATTATTTTTTATATAAAATATAATGTATTTTGCAAAAGATAATAATGCAAAAATACAATATTAAATAATATGCATTTATTTTTTTTTTAAAAAAAAGAGAAATTTGCAGATAAATTAGACTTATTCACAGATATACAGATATTTGCAGATTTGCTATTATCTATGTGATCTGTTGATTATCTATGAATATTTGGCATATAATCCACAAATCATTTATATGAATTTATGCGGATGTATAATATTCATCTGAATCATTTTTTAGCTGACAGATATTTATTTTTATCTGTAAATAGTCTGGATCACTTCACTACCATCAACTTTATTAACATTATTTTGGTTTTTCTTTGAGTAGGCTAAATTTATTTTAGACGCATGACAATATACTGAAAAAACTGTTAAAAACTTTCAATTAGCTCAAGTATCTACTACCTTTATACAGAAACATTATTTCTATAAATGAATCTTTCAAGCGTTTATTTATAACAAACAATCTTTTTATACTCTTGATCAAGCCTTTTAATTAATTATTCAAGTACATCTGCATTTTCTTAACCTCTCCACTCAGACTTATCTAAGTATATTAACCTGTTGATAATAATTCAACCTAAAAATCAATCCAGTATGACTAGATCATCAATAATTGTACTTTTAATAAGGATCCTCAAACTGAATCTTTGTATGAGAATGATAATAGAAATGATGATAGAAAATTTTACCTACAATGATTATCAACCAGATGACACTATTATAGCTAATATTACTTTTAGTGATAGCAGGATTACTAATTTCTTAATAGATTTCAACACTTATAAAAATCCTGAAGGATAATTAGATACATTTTCTTTTGGAATAAAACAGTCAAACCCACCTCTTCTTGAGTCAAGACAGTTGAAACCATTTTCTTTTAAGTTAGAAAGTAAGGGTCCAACATCTAGTAAAAAGGATAAGGGTACTAGTCAGTCTTACTTCTCTTAATCCAAATAGAATAAACCACAAAATATTGCTAAAAATGAAAATCCTGAATTAAAGAAGTCAGATTAAAAGAGAAGAAAACATCATTCTCCTTCTTCTCTACCTCATCTAGCTCAGAATCTGAACATTATAGTTCATATCATAGTGAACTAGAGGGTGATCCTTTCAATCCTATTAATGCTGAAACTTAAAATGAACTAAACCTTTTCTGATTATTATAAGGACTCTGAACTATTCTCAGATCTGTTGGTTTTAATAAACAATGTGAAGCAAAATTTGTCGATCTACCAACCTTTAAAGGTGGAGATCAGGATCCTTATGATTGGTTGAAAAGATACAATAATGCAGGTAATACAAATAATATCTCAGATAAGAAACGTTTTACATTAGTACTTTCATTTTTAAAAGTCTCAGCTCTTACCTGATACAATAAAACCAAAAATAAAAGACTTACGATACTAGAACAATCAAACCAATCAGTAACATAATCATCGATCTTTCATCTATCATTTTTTTAAAACATTATTGCATCACTCACTAATAAACACAATGGCATTCTATATTTAGGTAATGCAAATAACATTCTGGATAATCAGTAGAAGATTATGCTACTGATATTGAATCATTATACCTTAAACTTAATACAGATTATAATACATCTGAGGATAAAAAGATTGAACAATTTCTGCAAGGACTTTGATTTAAATTCTATACCGTAATTGCTATTACTGCATACAGGACTTAGAGAAAGTTATTGATTGAGTATGAGCTGTTGAAGCGGTATTGTCTAAAGATAGTACACTCTCAGATTACTCTTTGAGCAAAGCATTTTTGATACAAAATGAGAATGATATTTCTGAAACCTTTAATACTACTCCAAATATGTAACAACTCATTGATAAAAATAACAAAAAGTTATTAAAAGAGTTTAAGTAACTTCTGATCACTTCTAACACTACCCACAACTTCAAAATACTCTCCTCATTCTGCGAATACTAACAACAACTGGAGGAACAATAATAATACCAATAGTTATAATAATAGTAATAATAATAATCATAATAATAATCAAAATACTCAAGATTGTTATAACTGTAAACAAACTGAACATCTCGTCAAAGATTGTACGCAATAGAGAAATTACTAAAATAATCAAAATAATGGAGAAAACAGCTGATATCCGTAAAATAATACATCAAATTCAGAAATTAGTTGTCATAATTGTTAGCAACCAGAACATATTGCCAGAAACTGTAATAATTTATCCAAAGGATCATATCTTTTATGTAGTCAGTTTGGATACTGGAAATGATTATGTCCAAATAGAAATACCAATAATAATAATACTAGAAATATCAATAGGAATCCCAATACACCAAGTAGATATAACAATAATAATAATAGGCAATATGCTGCACTTTCTCAAACTATGCTGATGTATAACTTAACTTTTACACCTCTCTTCCAAATATCAATAACCTTTTTAATATCAAACCTATCACCAGCAACTAAAAGTAATATCTTCTTTTCATCATTGCAGTCTTTAAACTATTGACAGTAACTTTAGAGGGTGAGTGTACCAATGAATATATAAATCCTTTATAATTACTAAAAGCAGTTGAAGCCATTTATTGTAATGCCATAATGGATAATAAACCAATTTATTTAATCTTAGATTATAGATCAGCTGGAAGTGTAATATCTAAAGTATTTTTATAACAATTAAAATAAAAGTTAAATCCGCATTTACAATAATAATGATTAATATACAAGATAAACGATTTTGACCTTTAGAACGAGTTACAAATATTCTATTACAATTAAATAGTGTAGAAATTCCTATCAATGTAGATATTACTAAATCAACTGACTATTATATTATAGCAGAAAATGACTGACTTTCGAAATACTGAGGATGACTTTATTAGGACTGTCAAAAGTTTAGAATAATAAAAAATATTAAATACCAATAACTTGTTAAGAGAAACCACAATTTGGTTATTTCTAACAACCAGTAGTCATTATCAATAAATCATTAAATAAAGAATATGAGAATGAAAAATTAATAGCCTAATAACATTATGTAATATTTGAAGATCAGGATGATTTAACTCCTTTAGCTAAAAGTAATCCAAAACAAATTTTGGTAGAAAGACAAAAATATTCACTCTAATACTTTGAGAGTTTAAAAGTTCAGCCACCTAAAGTTACTAAGTAAAAATTTAATTGGTAAGAATCAGGAAACTGATATTAGTGTCATAACAAATTAAATAAAAATGATGATATCTGCTAATTTTATAAGAAGGAATAGAACCATTAGCAACTATTGCAAAATATTTCTGATGAGCCATCACTTCAAGTGAATATATACTCATATCTGAATGAGCATCAGTGATTACAAATTACTAGATTTTTTGATAAAAATGAAAATGCATTTGCCAATGACCTATCTCAATTGGAATACACAATTATAGAAAACTATCATATTTTAGTAGAGAATCCTATATCAATATGACAATGTGCATATTGAGTAACTCTATTAGAATAAGAATTTATAAAAGATAAAGTTGATAGAATATTGAAATATAATCTAATTCAACCTTCTGAGAGCTTCTGGGCTTTACTAGTTATTTTAGTAAGGAAAAAGAATGAAAGCTTCGATTTTGTATTGATTATAAAAAACTAAATAGTGTTACTTAATGGGACAGACATCCTTTATCTCATATTGATGAATTACTTGATATGTTTGAAAGGATAAAGTATTTCTTAATATTAGATTTAGCAAGTGAATATTGACAGTTTGTGATGGATCCAAATGATCAAGCCAAAATAGCATTTATAACCAGTCAAGGATTTTACGAATTTAAAGTCATGCCGTTTGGGTTAACAAATACTCCTGCAACCTTCCAAAATCTTATAAATAAATATTTAAAGAAGAAATTAGACAGTTTGTAACTGTATACATCGATGATATAATTATCTTCTCAACTACCTTCAATAAACATTTACAGCATTTGAAATTGATTTTTAAAAGACTAAAGAATGCTAAACTAAAACTTGGAAAAGATAAATGTGACTTTGCTAAGTTAGAATTAGCATTCTTGAGATACATTGTTAGTGAGTAAGGAATCTTTTCTAACCCTTCCAAAATTGACAAAATCAAAAATTTTTATATTTCAAAGAATATTACTGAGTTCTGAGAATTCTTATGCCTCGCATCTAACTATGGAGATTCATTCAGGACTTTTTTACAATAGCTACACCTTTGCTTTTATTATTATGAAAGAATATACCTTATATCTGGATTGAACTATAGCAAAAAACATTTGAACACTTAAAAATTTGTTTAACTACTGCACTAGTCTTAATATACCCTGATTTTAAGCAAATGTTTTTGCTATTTACTGATAGATTGTATATTAAACTTGGAGTAGTATTAGTATAAATTAATGATAATAATAAGGAATATGTTATAGCTTATGCTAGCCGAAGTATAAGCGGTGCTGAATGAAACTATGCTCTAACTAAATTGGAATATTTTGCTGTTATATAGGGAATGGATCATTTTTGATCTTACTTATTATATTAACAATTTGAATTAATTACTGACCATACAGCCTTATAATGGCTTTTTAATAAATCAGATCTGTCTCACAAATTTATGGGATGGATTATTCACATAATGGAATTCTCTTATCAGATTCGATATAAAAGGAAAAATTACACTCAAATACTGATACATTGTTTTGACTTCCTTTATAGTAAAACTGATTATTTATTAAGAATTTTAGAGTAAAAGTAAAGTTCTAGTAGTGTGACTAGCAGCTAAACAACATGGAATTCAAAAATTACCATCAACTATTTCAATACCTTACTCAACTTACATATCCTCTAAATCTTACTCCTTCACAATAACTTATAATTTAAAAATAAGTACAATATTACTTTATACAAAATCAACTACTTTATAGATGTAATTGCAAATATTTCTCTTAACCATTGCTTGTAGTAAAAACAAATGAAGTCAAAAGCATTCTACATAAAATCCATAATGAAACTTTAGGAAGATATTTAGCATAGGATATTAGTATAATAAGATTGCTTCTTGATATTATTAGCCAAGCATATACAAAATTATTGAAAATTGGATACAAATATGTGATGTATGTCAATGACAAGGAAGGCTAAAACCTAAGGAACCTCAGCATCCTATACCTATTAAATAACTATTCAACTGTATAAAAATAGATTATGTGGGATCACTTTCACATATTACTAAAGGAAACCAGTATATCATTGTAGCAATCAAATATTTGACTAAATAGGTTGAAGTTAACACTACACTAGACTGTACTGCCTAAACTACTGCACAATTTATGTACAATAAAATCATATGTTGACATGAAATACCAAAAGAAATATTAACCAATAGAGTAACATCATTCCAAAATGAATTAATCACTGCATTATTACATATAGTTAGAACTAAATATTGATTAATTTCACTATATCACCTTAGACTAATAGCTTGATTGAGCATTTTAATAGAACTTTATGCAACATTTTAGCAAAGTATGCTAAACAACACTATAGAGAATAAGATACATATTTAATTTTAGCACTTTTTGCATATCATACGACACAGTAAGAGACAACAAAATTTGAGCTATTCAAATTATTATATGAATGAAAAGCAGTTCTACCAATAGATTTACAATTGCAACGACCTTCTCCTATTAGTACAGTGAACTCTTGATATAACAAATTCTAGAATCTGAATATCAACATCGTTATAAGCTTATAACAAATTTTTTAAAGAATTTAATTAGCTAGTTCATTATAGTAAGGTAATTTTAATATATTTGATTTAAAAATTCGTTATATTAAGGGTTTGCTATATCAAGATTTGACTGTAATTTGTCAATTGCTATAGAAAAACATCAACAAATAATCTCATCGCAATTGCAATAATGATGGTTAGATGCATAGCAGAATATAATGCAATGACAATAACTGTAACAGGAACGTTATAATAAGAATTGACCTGGAACTTTTTATCAAATTGGAGATAAAGTTTATTGTTTAATATGACACAATCACATATTCATGGAGACAAATTTAAAGATAAATTTGATAGATCTTTTTCATTTACAATATTATGAGACCTGATACTTATAAACTTTGTACCTTTGATAGATAAGTTAGAAAGAATCTCACACGTGCAAATCTTTTGAAACTATATCTGAAATAGACTGAATAAGAATCTCTAATTATTATCGAATAATGATCAACATTAAAATTATTATAAATAGTCTATACTGTTATAATATTACCTTTTGAACGATTGTAACTATATATGAAGTCAAAATGAAAAGTCGAAATTGTCAAAATTATTTCATATTATATGATTTTTTATATATAGAAAATTAAAAAAAACAAAAGATATATGATCTCAGTCAATATCACTCCGATTCATATGAAACAACTACCATTTAATTCCTCATGACTATACGAATCCAATGAACTAACATTTATTAATTTTGGATTATCCAATCATGAGATATATGCGATTGAATTTTGAAATCCAGACTTCTTTATTTAAAGTAGAATTTAATGATTTATAATTTCAGCCAATAATACAATTGCGATTATCTCATGATTGGATGATCTGAAATCAATGATTGTTAGTTCATTGGATCCATCTAGTTGTGAGGATTCAAATGGTAATTGATTTATACAAATTGGAGTAGTATTGATAGAGATTGTATATCTTTTGTTTTTTTTATTTTCTATATATAAAAAATCATGTGATATAACATCATTTCGACTAATGTGACTTTTGACCTCCAAAGTCGAAATGATTTCGACCATTTTAATCATTTCAGATATCTGAAATGATTTATTTTGACTTCATATATAGTTGTGACAATAATGGAATCAAATAACTATAAAATTATTTTATAAGAACTCCACAATTCTGTGACTTTTTTTGATAAAGAAATTCAACCAATAATGTCATCATATCAAACGGATGTAATGTTAGCTTAAAAAGTGCAATTAACATATCAAACTCTACTTCGCTCTACACGTACGAGGAATTTTTCTCTATTTCTTATTAATGCTTATTATTTAGGTCAACTTATTGATACTGCAACTACTTCTTCTGTTCAATGAACATTTCAAATAAAAATGCTTATGAAACATTATTATTGAACTGCTATCGAATTTATCACCTCTTTGAAAACTTAGAAGTCTAATAAATCTTTACAACTCAACACTTAATCTTGATTATGATTTGCTAAATGAAGTCTAATGAATATCAAATTCTATTATTAAAAACTCTTGACATTTCTGCAGGAGCAGAAATCTTAAGTGGAAGTAATGTGAATAGATAAAATGTGATAGAACATATGTGATGTAGATGATTAACAAATCTGATAAATTTGATATGCCTGACATTTCTAACATTTCCAACATGTCTGACATATATGATATATTTGATATGATCGACAAATAAGATATATTAGATAGATTCGACATATATGACATATATGATATATTAGTTATATCTTTTTATATATTGTATTTTATATAAATAGATAGCTTTTTAAACTATGTAAAAAGTAGGATTTGACAAGTCAGTATTCTAGTAGTTTTAAAAGGCAAACTGGCCTATTGTAATACACTTTAGTTTTAGTATTTTGTTTCTTTATTTTATTTTATTTTTTCTTGTCATCTCTTTATTTTCTTTATTTCTATTCTTTTTATCTTATTAATAAACTTCTCACTTTAAAATATAATTTATTGATACATTGTGATTTATTGTTTATGAAATATTTATATAAACTCTTTTATCTGAATTTAATCATAAAAGTATACTTGTAAGCGTTAAGATTACTGTACAATTAAAAAGAAATAACACTCTGATATTTCGTCTAACAGTTGTAGTTTGCAAGAATTATATGTTAACAACTTATTAAGTAAAATTTATTTTAATAGATATATTTTTCAAGAGTTTTTATTAAATAGTAAACTTTATTACATTTTTTTTTAACAAATGACAAACTTTTAACTTGTTAATACAAAAGAAATTTAATCTAAAATACTTTTTATTAAAAATAAAAATGTTTTATATTAAATTTTATTTTTAAAAAAAATTCATGAAAATTTTTATTAGTTTACTATTTTTTTAGTAAGATTTATTAAAAGTAACAGAAGGGTTTAAAGTTAATAAATTAATAGTTACAAATAAGATTGTTTGTCTAAATTTATTTTTGATTTGGCTAAACGTTTAAATCTTTAGTTTGCTAAAATTTTACTAAGTATTTAATATAGTTTTGCCATTTTTATAAGCTTTGATATAGTTTTATCATTTTTTGATTTTTTAATAGGTTTTAATATAATTTAACTAAGTTTTATCTTTATTATTTAGATGCTTGTCTAAACTCTAAATTTTGTTCAGCAATCTTAGTCACAAACTAAATAAACATTCATATCAAAAAAATTTTTAAAGATTGTTATATATAGCTTGCTTATTCATAAAGTAAAAAATAAAATTTCATATGAAAATCACTTGGTAAAAATGGTAAAAATGATCAGTATTATATAACACTATTTACTACTCAAATATAATGTGATTGTTTTATGTAATAATTATTAATATTAAATAAAAAATTTCTAATTATTAATCTAATTGATATCATAAATTTTTTTGTTTTATTATAATAAATTTTATTTTTAAAAAAATCATAGTATAATAAAGAATTTATTATTAATACAATTTTTAAAACTTTTCTATATTTAAAATTTTTTATATATTTTATATATTTTAATATATATTTTAACTGAATCACAAATATATTTTTTTTAAAAAAAATAATGCATTATGAATATAACTAAAATAGATAATAAAAAGCATTAATCTAATATTATATATTGATGTATTAAAACATCTTTGACGATTTCAACTTTAAATACAATATGTGAATTAGCAAATTGAGATCATACTTTGTTTTAAAGAATTAAAAGAAACTTAAATATTATCATAGCAACTATATTTGAGAAGCATAGCAGATATCTCGATTTTATTACGATCATTTGCCAATCATTTATTCATTTTTTCACA